TTCTTATACTTGACATGTGAAATAAGTCACACTCAACATAGTTTTGAGCTAGTCATTTGGCTTTTAATTGTATCTTTTAATACAAGAAGCATGTCAAGATGCTTTTTCAACTAGATATAATAATACCTACAGTAATTTTGAGATCATAGGGTGAAAAACAAGAAGAAAGTGTATTTTGGGGGTTATATCAAAGTATTCAAGAAATAATTTCACTACCAATGATTTTTAAAAAAATCACTGTGAATGTATCAATGTAACAATTAATTAATTAATTAATTAATTAATTTGAGACTGAGCCTTACTCTGTCGCCCAGGCTGGAGTGCAGTGGCTCACTTTTGGCTCACCGCAACCTCCACCTCCCAGGTTCAAGCAATTTTCATGCCTCAGCCTCCCGAGTAGCTGGTACTACAGGCATGTGCCACCACACCTGGGTAATTTTTGCATTTTTAGTAGAGATGGGGTTTCACCATGTTGGCAAGGCTGGTCTCAAACTCCCGATCTTAAGTAATCTGTCCGCCTCAGCCTCCCAAAGTACTGGGATTACAGGCGTGAGCCACTGCGCCCAGCCCAATGTAACAAATTTAAATTGTTAAAATGTGTAAGAGAATATGGTATATTGGGAAAAAGTTCACATTAATATAATTTACTTTCAAATAATTACTATTTATGTTTGAAGTAGAGACATAGCCTACTCAAAAATAGTGCTTTGCAAATTTTGGCCTTTTTTATTTTTAGTTGACACACAATTGTACATATTTATGGGGTACAGAATGACATTTTAATACATGTATACAATGTGATGATCAAATTCGGGAAATTAGCATATCCACCATGATATTCTCTTCAATAAATGATGCTGGGCAAGTCCTGTCTTTCTCACCATATACAAACCCAACTCAAAATTGTTTAAAGACTTAAATGTAAGACCTGAAACCATAAAACTACTAGAAGAAAACATGGATGAATTGCTTCAGGACATTGGTCTAGGCAAAGGTTTTATGGATAAGACTTCAAAAGCACAGATTTTGACTTTTGTCTGTTTATGGGAAAGAGGCAAATCTTAAGAACTGAAGAAGTCCTTAAAGTAGCAGAACAAAGGAAATGAATGGTGTATAGATTTGGCATTCTTTGTGGCGTCGTATAGATTTCAAAAGGAAACTGAGCAGAGGATCTGTGGGGGTAAAAAGGATTAAAAACTTCCTGGTATCGTTAGACACAACTTTTACCAGTCTGTGTTTTCCGTTTTAGTTTCTATGGTATTATCAATAGTTTCTGCTACGTTAAACCGTTAGTGTTTATCATCTCGGTGGATTCTGAAAAACATTGGCTAACCTCCCTGCTTTTCTTGCTTTGCTATGTGTAGTTTTCACTGTGGAGCAGTTACTTTCATTGTTGTCAAAAAAGACACCTGCAGGATGATTGAGGAGGAAGAAACTGAGGACTGTGGTGGCTGAGATCGTAAACCAAAAAAAGAGCAAGGGTTGATAAAACGTATTTTATCTTAATAATTTGTTCAACATTACAGAAATTTTCCATCCAAAGCTATAATTGTTTTTTCTCGTTATAGAAGTGGTAAAGCAAAAGCCCTTCAGTGAAGGAAGGTTCCTGGAGAAGGGAAGAGCCATCACATCACTTCTCAATTCTATCCTTGAGTTGTGCTGACACCATCAGCACCAGCAGCTCTAGTGGCTGTGTGTAAACAGGGACCAGTCTCTGTGGAGACCCGGCTTCCCATAAGACCATATGCAGTAGACATTTAGTTAGGGTTTAATAAACGTTGATTATGGAATAACTTTAATCAACAGTTGTAATTGTTTTGAGTGCTTATTAATGTCTTGAAATGACTTCCTCTTGGACTTGGGGAACCTAAGATATTACAGTTGTGAGAGGTGAAGTTGTATAACTGAACTCTTACATACTTATTTAGCCTATCCAAAATGGTTTTGTTTTTTTTTAACAGAACCTAAGGGCACACCGAGAAAGTAAACTTGTGTAGAACTTACTTTACCGCTATGTTCCAAGCATTTAGGTAATGTTTAATTACATACAATTAATTACATTTAATTATATGAAATCATGATGTTAACCCTGAGTCCTGTTCCTGCTTTTGGTAAAATTCAGGCCAAATATCAAAAGCCAGGTACACAAAATATATCGTTCCAAACTGTTCTCATAAAATGTTTTTTGCTTACCTGCCAAGAGTTTTAAAAAAAGAAAGATAAAAATTATTTTGTTTGTCAGTCCTTCTGCACTCAGCTTACATGTCCCAAGGCGTCACACATTTGCGTTTGTTAGCAGGATTGTCTCTGGTGCTTTTTACAAAAATATTGATAGGGAATTGTTGGTCCTAAAGATGGGCAAGGATACAGGTGTATAAATTCCTTCTTCTCAGAATACAGTCCCAAATAAGCAGTGACTCTGCATGTCCGAGCTTCCACACAGAAAAGTCGACTACTCTGGGGGACCTGGGGACATTTCTCCAATGGCCTGTGACAAGGCCAGCTTTTTTTTTTTCCCAGTTAAAAAAAATGTTGATGCGATCACAGCAATAAAAAGGAATGAACTGCAGCCGGGCGCGGTGGCTCAAGCCTGTAATCCCAGCACTTTGGGAGGCCGAGACAGGCGGATCACGAGGTCAGGAGATCGAGACCATCCTGGCTAACACAGTGAAACCCCGTCTCTACTAAAAAATACAAAAAACTAGCCGGGCGAGGTGGCGGGCGCCTGTAGTCCCAGCTACTCGGGAGGCTGAGGCAGGAGAATGGCGTAAACCCGGGAGGCAGAGCTTGCAGTGAGCCGAGATCTGGCCACTGCACTCCAGCCTGGGCGACAGAGCGAGACTCCGCCTCAAAAAAAAAAAAAGGAATGAACTGTTGATAGGTGCAACAACACAGGTGAATCTTAAAATAACCATGGTGAAAGAAGCCAGAAAAAAAGGAGTACATTCTGTATGATTTCATTTTTATAAAATTCTAGGAAATGCAAACTCATGTATAGTGACAGAAGAAATCAGTGGTTGCCTGCGGATGTCGGGGGTCGGGAGAAGGGTGGGGCAGTGGGCGGGAGGTAGGATTACAAAGGGGCATGAGAAAACTGGGAGGTGATGGTTATGTTCATTATCTTGATTGTGGTGGCAGTATCATGGGTGCATACATATGTCAACATTTGTCACATTGTACATTTATATCTGTGCACTTTAATGTTTGTCTATTATACCGCAGAGCAAATCAGAAGGGGAAATATTGTATTACTGTTGTAAACAGAAATCAGTTGACACTTGTCATAGACAGCAGGTAAGAAGGAAAATAAATGCAATTAAAACAAAACAAAGAAAGATCTGCCTTCTACTGTGGAATCTGGGGCATAGGAAAGCCCCCTGTGTTTGATAATTACACTCTTAGCTAATGTTTGACTCTCAAAATATCTTCGTTGATGGGCAGGCAATTATGTTTTAACTGTCAAGAGCTGGGTTTTGGGTCCGAGTGCCGTGGCTCACGCCTGTAATTCCAGCACTTTGGGAGTTTGAGTCAGGAGGATTGCTTGAGGCGAGAAATTCAAGACCAGCCTGGTCAACACAGCGAGACCTCATCTCTAAAGTAAAAAATTAGAGAAATTATCTAGGCATGATGACGCGTGCTTGTAGTCCCAGCTACTCAGAGGCTGAGCCAAGAGGATTGCTTGAGCCCAGGAGTTTGCAGTTACAATGAACTATGATTGTGGTGCCACTGCACTCCAGCCTGGGTGATAGCATGAGAGCCTATCAAACAAAACAAAGCAAAACAAAAAAACAGCAAGAGCAGGGGTTTTGGAGTTGGGCAGAGCAGATGTGGGTTTGGCACAGTGGCCCAGTCATCTGCTAGCGGTGGGTCTTGGGGCAAAACAGTTGCCTTTTTTTTTTTTTCTTCCTGAATCTATGAAATGGGTTGGTAGAAGCATGGTAAGTCCTCAATAGATGGAAACCATTTTTGTCATTATTTTTATTTGCTTCACATTGTGATTTACACAAGATTTTTAAAATGTAGGTAGTTTGGGGTGAGAACATACAGTATTCTGAATTCACGAGGGGGCATGTCCATATTACCATGGAGAATCGAGTACTTTAGCAGAGCGTTGCCTAAAAAAAGAAGAGGTCAGCACAGGAAGGGAAAGGAGCACAGGGGCAGGAACCTAGGATTTGTCAAAATGCCCACTTTTTTCTGTGTTCTTCTCAGGGGGCATCGAGTTCCTAGGTGACCCTCTGATATGGTTTCACTGCTTTTGGTGACCTCTGCTCTTTGCAGGCTTTGTTTTGAATTCATTAGTCTTTTCCCTTGTTAAATTATAAGGCCATTGCTTAAATTACAGCACTTTTTCTCAGAAGTGCTGTATTTATGTTTGCTTGTTTAGAAATTCATTCTGGCGTTTAGCATATGTACTTTTTATCATTCATCTGTAGGAAAAATGTTGGACTTTTAAAACGTTTTGCTTAAAATTGACTGATAGATTTGGTTTAATCTGACTTTTCATTAGCTTTATAAACTTAAAAATAATATATATTATCTATGTATACTTACGGAAGTAAAAGTTGATCAGTTTATCTTAATTGGTCATATTGTTGATATATAAGTTTGGAGGAATATATGGTAAAAATATACTTTCTTTAACTCTGAAATCATGTCATTTTCATGTATAGAAACTAACAGAATTACTTGCTTTCCCATGATCTTGGCCTAGTTTTTTCTTCTGCCAGCTGGTGGCAGGGATTTGACAAGTGATTGATTTGGTTTCAGAGGGTCCTGGAATTACACAAAGTGTTTTCTATATTGGGGAAGACATGCCCAGTTTTTCACAAGTTTTAAGATTTATTGCCTCACCCTAACATGTTGCAAATTAGTTTGTTTGCTATTTATTTTACTCAGAATGTAGTAATTGGTGTCATTAGTGGAAGGGAAAATTTGATCACAAGAAAGGGCAGACAGCTATTTAACACTACTTCTTTGTTTCTTTGGCAACTTTGCAGGGCTGGAGATAAGATGGGTAGACTGCTACTTTCCTTTTACACATCCTTCCTTTGAGATGGAGATCAACTTTCATGGAGAATGGCTGGAAGTTCTTGGCTGCGGGGTGATGGAACAACAACTGGTCAATTCAGGTACAAAAGAATCCCACATTTTATTTACACATGCTCTAAAGGAACCCTCCCTTCTCAGGCAGCCCCACGGCACACTTGCAGGTATTTACATACTTCTGTGGGGGCAGCAGCATCATTGGTCTCTCTTCAGAGTCCCCTGTAGACTTGTCTTTGATACTAAGCCCTGGAAAAAATAATTTCTCACGTATCTATTTGTGAAGGCTCTTTGTCTTTGGAGATCCTCCTTGTCAGCACTTGGCTGCTGGATTTGTACTTTGTGATTTCGTGTTTGTTGATATGTTGCTTTGTAATTGCCCCAAAGGCATTTGCTGCATGTCACAGGAGTGTAGTTTGTCTTTCAGACTATTTAAGAACAAAGACAATGCATAATCCATTTTTGTTCTTACTGCACTTAGTATAGTGTCCCAAATTCAGCAAGTATTTTATAAATACACTAAAACGCAATGTAAAAACACATAGGCCCATGATGCTTAATCCATCACCTCCCTCTGCATAGGCAGTGCCACCTGACTGAGAGAAAATGGAAACACAAGGTTGCTGATTGAATTCTACCCATATCTATAGGCATTTCAGAAGGATCTGTCTGGCTCTTTTCTGTAAGACCATTGCTGTGAGTTCTTTTTTTAAGTCACTATCTGAGTTTAGTATTTTTTTAAGTAACTATCTGAATTTAGTATTTTTTAAAGTCACTATCTGAATTTGATTTTTTAAGTCACTGTCTGAATTTAGTACTTTTTTGAAGTCACTATCTGAATTTAATTTAAAAATATTACAGGCTCGTGCCTGTAGTCCCAGCACTTTAGGAGGCTGAGGTGGGTGGATCACCTGGGGTCAGAAGTTTGAGACCAGCCTGGCCAACATGGTGAAACCCTGTCTCTACTAAAAATACAAAAATGAGTCGGGTGTGGTGGTGTGTCTGTAATCCCAGCTACTTGGAAGGTTGAAGCATGAGAATCACTTGAACCCGGGAGGCCGAGGTTGCAGTGAGCCGATATTGCTATACTCCAGCCAGCCTGGGCAGAAGAGCAACACTCAGTCGGAAAAAAAAAAAAAAAAAAAAAAAAAAAAATTATATATATATATATAAAATTTTTTTTTTTTTTTTTTTTTTTTTTCAAAAAAAAATCCTCCAAGAAAAAAAGGGAAAGTTGGTTTGGATCAGGCATGTGAGCTCACTGCATAAGCAGTGAGGAACTGATGTAGATTATTCAGGAAACCTTTCTGGCTCTGCTCCCTTGGAAGGACACTTGCTGCTTGGCCTTGGAGGGCAGTTCTGACTCAGGGTTCACCGCCCAGCCTCTTGTAGCAGAATGAAGAGGGGTCCTTCTTGTAGCTAAGAAAGGTGAATAGACCATGGATAAGGACATATATGTGGTGATGGGCTTGGGAAATGAGGATGAGCAGAGAGTGACGAGGCAGGGTGCATGAAGTGCAGGAGCTTGTGTTACCTTGGCTGGGAGACTGGAGGCCTGGCCTTCCCTTCTTCCTCTTAGGTACTCTCTGTCTGCAGAGGCCTGGACTCCACAGGCTCCCCGATTCCTCTTCATCCTGCTGAGGAAGCCTCAGGAGAAAGCCTGGCACAGGGCTGGAGGCTTCGTGGGCAGTTTTAAAATAGGTGAAGAGCTGTCCTAGAGGAGAGGGAGCACAGGGGTTGACATCAGGACCTGGGAGGAGAAGTTGTGAGGCCTGGGCTTAAGTGTCTGGAAACCCAGGGTTTTTGTCACAACTCTGTTCATTAACAGCTATGTATCTTTAGGCAGGGTTCATCACCCCATGAGCCTTGGCCTTCTCATGGTTAAGATGGGTGCAGGGATACACCCTCAGAGTTCCATTATGGGGATAGATTGAGAGGATTCCTCTAACGTGCTTAGCAAAGGGTGTGGCACACAGTGAACATTCAATAAAAATTAACTGCTGATGTTGTTATACTTAAAATTTTTCTAATGGTTAGAGCCATTTATCAACAGAGGGTCCCCTTAGTAGGAAATATTTAAACAGAAGTTGTTCCTGCCTGTCATAGAAACAATTTCTAACCAATGTAATTTGTTCCTCTTTGACCTGTAGTCATGTCTGTGTCCACGATTTTATACTGAGTGAGTGATTTTACAGGGAAAAAGAAAAGTAGGAGTAATAAACAGGAAGAAAAGGAAAATCAGCTTAATAGACGTATATGCATCTCAACAGAAAACGTAAAATACCGGGCGTGAATATGAAATATTTAATCTCTTCTTGAGTAGGAGCTGACTTCAGATACCTCTGTGATGTTTTGATAGTTTCGTTTTTTAGAAAAAGACTTGAATGGCTGCTAGGCTTCCTCCCAGCAGTGCCTGGTGTCAGGAGGCTGGAGCTCAGAAAGCAAATCAGGGATGATCAGCTTACACATCAGTTGTTGCTTGGAATTGCACTTCCTTGCACGGTTTCCAATATCCTTGATGAGTTTTTATGAGGTTGATTCACACAGTAATTGGCTGAATATTGTTATCTGAAGCAGGTTTCAAAGTCATTATTGCACATTAATGAGGCTGCTGTTCTGCAATTAGATCAGCTGTGTTAGATATTCTTGAATGGAATGATAAAGTGAAAAAGACACCTAAGTTGTAAATATGTTTCAGAGATTCACAGTGATGGTAGGATGTGCTTTGAGTTTTGGGGAAACTGTACACATAAAAATTAATTAATTAATTAATTAATTTTTGAGACAGAGTCTCGCTCTGTTGCCCAGGCTGGAGTGAAGTGGCACGATCTCAGCCCACTGCAACCTCTGCCCCCTGGCTGGGTTCAAGCGATTCTTGGGCCTCAGCCTCCCGAGTAGCTGGGATGACAGGCACCCTCCAACACACCTGGCTAATTTTTGTATTTTTAGTAGACATGAGATTTCACCATGTTGGCCAGGCTGGTCTCGAACTCCTGACCTCAGGTGATCCACCCACCTTGGCCTCCCAAAGTGCTAGGATTACAGGCATGAGCCACTGTGCCCAGCCATAACATTTAAGTTAAATATTTCACAAGAGAGGGAAACGAAAGAAATGGAAGAAGAGACAACTTTGTAGAAGAGATTCTGTATAGACTTTGCTATTTGAATTTGAAGTTACTATGACAGAGTTCTCCTCTGTGTTCTCAAATTCGAAGGTGTTTGGATGGCTGTAGTTAAAATTTGTAAACTGCCTGGCAGTCACTAACCACAGACATTTGCAAGTGCAGCTAATTTTCTGTTTTTTTGAGTTCGTATGGCATGGAGAAAGACCGAATATGTGTACTTTATCCCGCTCGTTCAGTTTTGCTGTTCTTTCTATCTCTTCTTCTGTATTTGCTTCCCTACTCTCCCTTCCTTTTTCCTCCCCACCCCTGCTCTTCCCCTCTCTTTACTTTTCCTCATTCCCTTCTGATTTTAAAGAGGACTTCCAAGAAACAATATAATTGATGACTCCCCTTTAAGGTTCTTATAGAGAATCAGGTGAGTGCTAAAATAACCAGAAAACAAAGAAGCTGATGGAGCAATGATAGTGGCAGACATCAGTTGAGTCCTTCCTGGATGCCAGCGTCCCATAAAGCATGCTTCATATGGTTTCTTTCATTTAACCTTGCTAACAAGGTTCCAAGGTAGATGCTATTATAACCCGTGTTTTACAGAACCGGAGAAATGTAATTCAGATCAAATAGCTAGACAGTGCTAGTGAAACTCGCCAAGTCTTTCTGACAACAGTTAACTAATAAGCTATGCTCCCCAAATAGTAAATTGCATGATTTTGAAGTTGCTAAAAATGCATTTCAAATATATCATTCTGCCTAACATAGAATGAAAGAACTGAAATAAAATGAAACAAATACATAGCAAACAAAACTTTATTTGTTCTGTAGTTACCTCTGTGGAAGGGCTATGCCCCCATGCGTGTTCTCTTCCTGTGATAGAGTGTGTTTAATCAAAGCATGAAATTAGATTGCTAATTTGAACAGTCAGTAAAAACATTTTATTACACATTTAAGCGACTGTGGCATATATGTGTTTTTATGTGTGGAACACGGCTCTTCTAAATGGCTTCTAGCATTTTACTTTATTTCTTCTTCCCTAAGTCATAGTGTCTTCACCATTGCTTTCAGGATCCTTAGACTGAGTGATTGTGATGTGAGTGGTGACCGTTTTCAGGCTGAGTTGGTTGTTTTTCCCTTAGGGAGGTATTTTGAGGACAGTACTGAGTCACATCCCCAAATACTACACACTTGCCTCCCACTGGGTTGACTCAGGCTGCTGTGTCTTTTCACATAGTAAATGGAGCGCCACGTCCAAAACCATCACTGGGACAGCTATGGGCCGTGATCGTGCCAGGAAGGAATTTACCATTCCTTGCCCCTGTGAAGTTTAGAAGATTTTACGTGGGCCAAGAGGGAGAAGAAGCTTGATAGTTAAAAGTATCTTTTTAAAAATGAAATTTCCTTCCTTACCTTTTTGTCAAAATTTAAAAATTGGCTCTTTTGGGAAAACCTTGTAAACAGGTACATGAACAGTTTCTGGTTTTAAAGGATCATCATTGACTTGCTTATCAAATATTTCTTGAAGTCCTTCTAAGGCTATATCAAAGTGAGTAAGCATTGCTTCTGCTTTTGCAAATATCACAGCACACACAGACGTATACAGTACCATGTGGTAAGTATTCATAACGGGGTACCGTGGGCAGAATGTGTGGGGAAGAGACGGGTTAGAGAAGGTGGTGCCAGGCCTTTCCCTGGTTACATTCAGGATGGAATATTGATGCGATAGGTATTTGAAATGTGCATCCCAGAGTGAGTTAGGTTCTTGTTTGCAAGGAGAGATGTAGTTTCTCTTTGCTTTTCCTATATTGGCATGAATCTGTTTCCAGTCTGCCCCTCTCTCTGGTGGTTGATCTCTGTAGCCTCTACGCATACTTAACATGGTTCAGTGTTGTTGATCTAAGTTGGTGAATCTGTAATAGCATGAACGAAGGCGGTACTAGTAATAAATATGCCATTTATGTAATTAGTGT